AAATCAATCCTTGAATGCGGTACTTACCTTGTCAAGCTGTAGACTTTCCATTTCAGAATACAGCTTCGCTAACTCATCATGCCATTTGTTCTTTTCCGTTTCTGATATGTTCTCCCTAGAAAAAATCATAGCTATTTCGAGAGGCCCTTTTGAACATCTCTGGTACCCAGTTTCTGTTTTCCGTGAATCAATCCTTCAATGCGGTACTTACCTTGTCAAGCTGTAGACTTTCCATTTCAGAATACAGCTTCGCTAACTCATCATGCCATTTGTTCTTTTCCGTTTCTGATATGTTCTCCCTAGAAAAAATCACAGCTATTTCGAGAGGCCCTTTTGAACATCACTGAAGTCATCAAAAGAAGACATTACTTGTTCAGTCTTGCCTGCAAGACATGTTCTTTCTCGATCATCGCTTGCCGTCGTGAATCGGATGCCAGCACAGCATCTATCACTTTGGTGTCGTCACCTTCAACCTCTTGCTCCACCGCAAGCAGACTGATTCCTGATGGTATCCGCAACTGCCCACTGAAACCATCTTGTGAACCATTAGGTACTCCTCAAACAACCGATAAAGTACCTCGAAATCATTTTCAAAAGCGTTGTCTTTCCTATTCCGTTGCGACCAACAAGACCATATCGTCGTCCATATGCCATAGTCAAATCCGCACACGATAACAACTGTCTTGAAAATACTCCAATGAAAAAAAAAAAAACAGGAAATGAGATACCTCCGATCGTATATTTTTGAAACAACACCTTAAATAATAATCACCCACTTTGTACCTATCGATATGTCAACGCTTTCCAACTTGACGTCTTTCACGTTGGAACCGCGAGCGCCAAGATCTTTAACTGGTGCCTGCAAATGATTAGAATCATCGAGAATCATCTGATCTCAGTTCCACCGTCCAGGCATAAGAAGGGATTCCTCCTAAGGCCGGAACCTCTGATCTCATTTTAAGCTCTAACTCCTCGGAAGTAGTGCGAATCCGCCGAAGGGAGCATGCGCGTACAAGAATTGATCAAGCACCGAGTCGCAGACTTGCTAAACACCATCACAGAGCTATGCGTGTTAACCAATGAATACTTAATCCTTCGGCGGGACAGCTGAATCTCTCGATCGTGTAATCGCCGAACCTCCAGACCGACACCTACACATTTCTTTCAGCAAAAATGCTGAATTCCCAAAACGTTGCTTACAGGTAGACCCATAGTGTCTTCACAAAACGACATTTGCCATTGCATTTGCCGGTTCTGATAACAAAGGAACCATAAAAATACCTGTGAAGCCGTTGCTGAGCTCTCGGGCCTCTTCTTACGTGCTACGGGCTCTGCTTCGCGCTGCTCGATCTTCTGCGCTGCACGGTTCTCAGCTTTTCCCAACTTTTTCTTGTCCACTGACTACAATAGGGTTAAAAGTAACAATTGTGAATGTTACAAGAAAAATGTCCCCAATTAACTTGGAAAATATTCTGGAATTGAAGAAGAGAATATAGAGACGGCAAAAAGCTAATAATCTCACCGTCGGTACATCTCTCGCTTGCACCTTCCATATACTCTCCATTTCGGCAAAACTGTGGTTCTCCGCCGCCATATCCACAGCCTGATCCAACTTCTTCGTGGTCACTCCATGCTTCTCAACCTTGGGCAAATTCCTGAACACGGATAAAGTGATCATTCCAGACCGAATTCGGTGTTTGCCGGAGTTACAGCTCAAAGACTCAAAAAAGCTTTTCAAGATGAATCAAGCTAGCGCCAAAACTGACTCTCCATGCAGGAATTGTAGAAGCTGCAGGCATGTTCGATTCAGTCCGTCGTTGCATAGCTCTTGGACGTAGCTCTAGAAACAAATACTAGAAGTCTGGAATTTGGTTGGAATAGAAAACGAATCTCCATAAGATGAAACTGAAAGAGTTCAGCTACAGTACTTGAATGTGGTCGCCCACTGCTTCTACGACGTCTTCTAGAGTCAATAGTTCATCTACATTTTCCTTGAGAATTGCTGAAATGATAAAAATTCCAAAAAAAGCTGTGCTACAAGGGCAACTACTGTTTCAGCCAACTCACAAGAAACATAGTCCTTTATTTCAGAAGGCAGTGTCGGAAATGTTGCAGCAAGATAAGCGGGTATTGCATCTACGTTAGCCATTTCAATTGTTGACAAAGAATTCGTGTCCTTAAAAAAGAAGATAGATTGCTGCACAGGTAAATGCGCTCGACTACGAAGAGCATATAGGCAGAACTGCGCTCCAAGGCCTCGTTAACAACCATATGAGGGGTTGTTAGCACCTCATAGGAGTGATGGGATCTTGGCAGTACACCTGTAACCGTTACGAAAACGCTATGAAGACGGAACAGGTTTATTTTCGAAATGTTAAGGGATACCCGCGTTTTTGAAATGAGAATGGTCGGGAAAGTACCAAGTATTATTTTGTTTAAATCAGCATTTGGCTCCTGGTTGAAGTCTAGGATCCAGATGCCGATTTCAACAAATAATATTTGCTGTAAACCGGTCCCAGGGCACTCTTTGAGTTATAGAACGAAGAAAAAACTTGTAAATTTTGCGAGACAAAGCCCTCTCAGAGTAGTGCGATCGATATAAAGCGGCCGGTAGTCGTGACAATGAGAATTATAAAGCTCCGATTCACAACCCTCTGCAATCTCGAGAATATAAGTCAGACATGGAATTACTGAGGTACGGCAAAGCAGTAGGAATCCAAATTCATCTCCCCTCATCCGGACGAGGCCAAAATGTTAGGCTGGTGTCAGAGTCCGCGATCCATCGCAGGTTTCGCTGATTTTCGCGATTTGCGCGATTTTCGCGATTCGCGCGACGGGTCACGAAAAATCACAAGTGCCCGATCAATACTGCAAGGTGTTCTCCAATCCTGCCGCCACTTCTTGTTTGATTTTGACGGCTGAATGACGACTGCTCATTATTCCACTTGTTTCATATTCAATGTTTCAAAATTAGTCCACGCACTTTGCATGTTGCGATCCTCGCGTGAATCGCCGCAAAATCGCCATAAAATCCGAATAATCGCCGTCATCGCTGAATAACAGCGAAAATTAGCGCAGAATCTGCGAGGATCGCTGTCTCTTGCGACACCAGCCCTGTACAGCAGCAACCATTCGTCGATCATGAGCCAGCCAATAATTGAGAAATGGTAAAACGACTAACCCTAGCCAAAATAAGGAAATGAAACGTGATTAGTACTGGGATAAGGCAGGGGAACAGAAGCGCGTAGTAGGTGACGTCCGATGAGATGAGCGAAGCAGTTGCGTTGTCTACCCAGCGAGCCTCACTGATCATACACCCTCAACAACGAGGATGAGGCTGAAAAAGCAAAATTAGACAGTATTCCGGAAAATTGGGAGATCGAGCAAGTGCATAAGATAAGCAGACCTTATTGAACACTATAGCCATGAGATTAGAAGAATTTTGAGATCTCATCCAGTAAACGTGCGTTCATAGTCGGTCGCCCGATCGAACAAGCGCACAGCATTAGTATGTACTCGATCGCGTTCAATGCTCGATATCTAACGCTCGCAGTGACCTATGAGGCTAGAAGGGTAGGGGGTGAGAGTGCACGGCACAGTTCGAATCGCATTAATTAATGCACGTTGTTGCCCCACTGAAAAAGGAAGTCACAGCGCCGAATCGAAAGCGAGAGTGAACCGAAATATTCACGCGCCGGGTTATGATGTATTCATCGGCAAAATGACAAAGGGATATGGGCAGTTCTTCGCCAGTAAATAATTATTACCCGATAGTATTAATTTCCTATCAGTTTGTATGCAATTTCCTGACAGTAACACCCAACTTACACCTCGCTGTTTATCGGCTGGACTTCAACCAGCGGAAGAAAGAGAAACTGATACAAAATCTAGCCCACTGAAACAACGTCATTTTCACGGCAAAAGGATCCAATTGAAAATAACGCACCGGCAGCGGTCGTCTTCAAAATCTAGTCCGGACGAAATCGAAATGTTTCATTCCGGGCTCTACGGGCAGTACAAGTTAGCAGCCACGGCAGATTTTCCAGTTGCAAAGAATTCTTGAACCTTCTCGTAATCTTCAGGTTCGTAATATCTCGTCTTCGTATTGTTCGTGAGAGCTTGAGAGGATGGATTTTTCGAAGTTACGTGACGTTCGAATCAGGTAAATTTTCAGAAATGGCAGGTTCTAATGTAGCCGAGCGTCTAGAGGCGCAGTTGATGAAGGCTGTAGATATCGTAGAAGAACGTATCGACAGTGAAATGAATAGGTGGGTCGGAGTACTGGATCCTTGTCTTTAATAAAGGATTAAAGTGTGCTGTACTTCCGAATGGCTGCCTGCATTGTTAAAGGTTGGACAACATGGATGAGGATGAACTCGAGATAATTCGGCGACGTCGTTTAGAGGAGATGAAGAAAGTGCAAAAAGCGAAACAGGTTTGATTCTTTCTTCTATAAATCACTGAGCTTTCGAGTCCTCCATTAATTTTGCGTTAGGAAATGCTAGCAGTCGGTCACGGTACCTACAGTGAAGTTGCTGATGAGAAAGAGTTCTTCGAAGCAACGAAGAAGAGTAAGAATGTCGTCTGCTTATTCTACCTGGATGGAAACATGAGGTGGGCTTGATCAGTCCGATAGGAATCCTGAAATTGCGTGAGAGTCCGCTAAGTCTGAAGCTAAGGGAATCACCTATTATCATCCTGTTTTAACCAGGGTGGGGTATAGCGCTGATGAGACATTGTTCAAGCGAAGGATTTTTTGTCATGAAGGTCACAATGACGTTTGCTTACTCTAAAGGTGAGGGTCAGACCTCCACATGACCCTTCAATGAAATTAGGAAGATTATTCGTTCACATTGAACACAAGGGAAGACTTACACTATGTCTTACTATTATTCGGAGATAAATGCGTTCA